TTCCTGCTTTCATCTCTCCTTTCTACCCACCCTACCTTAATCTCTCCCTCCTCCCGTCTTCAGCTTTCCCTCCTTCCTTCCCCTGGCAGGCTCTACCAGGGCAAACTATGGCCCAGTTGTGTGGTACCAGCTACTGGACTGGGCCCAGTTGCACAGTAAGTAACCTGGAAGGCCTTGTGAGTCCCCACACTATTACCTCTTTTCTTCCTGCTGGCAATCCCCACAGCCTCGCCTTTCCTGCATCTTTTTCTCCTTTGCACCCACCCACCAACCTCCCATTGACCTGCCCACCCATCTTCAGCTATATTTAATATTTATTTACTTCATTTATACTCTCCAGAACGGGGACCCAGAGAAGCTTACATCATTGCTCGTACAACGTAGGAATGAAACATGACCCTCTTCACACTGGAGGAAATACTAATATGGATTGTAGCACAAATCCATGAATGTTCATTTCCTGACTTCAAGGACAAAGAGAACGCTCATTTGCTTGTCCTCAACATCAGGGCAACATCTGCTGCTGTGAAAGAGACCTAAGTCTTACTTTTTTCCTAACTAACATTAACAAAGACTTTGGGGGAATTCTATTTTTAAATCCTCTCCACATGAAATATGTACACAGGGCAACAAAGGGGAAAAGCCTAGGTTAAATCTTCTTGCAGCCTTAATGCGTTTAGCATGCTTCTTAGCTTAAGTAGTTTACCACAGCCCTAGAGCCAGTAATGTCATTTTGTATTTTTATTAAACATATCCTGATTAACAATAAGTTTTCATTTAGTGGAACTCTGCACTGGCTGAAGTTTGCTCCAAATGAAGTCAATGGTAGGTACAAGCTGGCTTTTAAACAGCTTACTAAAAAGGATGTTCATATGAGTGCTACACAAACCATTTTTTCCTGTAAAGCAGCCAGAAACAGAAACAAACAGTGACTATGGTCAAGCTGCATGCTTTGGGTGTTTGTGTGTGTGTGTGTGTGTGTGTGTGTGACAATTTTACTTAGCTTCTCCACAGATCTGTGTCCCTCTAGTTCAGAGGTGTCAAACTCATTTGTTACGAGGGCCAAATCTGACATAATTGTCACTTTGTCGAGCCAGGCCATGTGTGCTATAAAATGTAACACAAGGTACCAGAGATATAAGCTTTATAAAGATGATTTCAGATGCCAAATGCCAATAGCAGGCATGATTGGATTAGGTGTGATATGCAGACAGGTGGAGATACCAGCATTGGTGTGATATACAGAGGCATTATCAGCATTGGTAGTGAGACAGGAAACCTAGGTCTCAATTTGGTACAGAAACATTCAGTCCAGGAGGATGCAAAGAACAAATGGAAATAAGTCTGAAAAAGTGAGCAGTGACTCACGAAAACACATACCCTATCAAAAAATTTGTTAGTCTTTAAGGTGCTACTGGACTCTTACACTTTCTACTGCTATTAGAAACCAAAACATTCAAAAACCAGTGAGGGAACATTTTAACCTTCCAGGACATTCAGCTACTGATCTAAAAGTAGCAGTTCTCTTACAAAGGTATTTCAAAGGGAGATTAGAGAGACTGCTGAATTGCAACTGATCATGAAGCTCAAGACAATGCAAACTCCTGGACTGAATTGAGACCTGGGTTTCTTCTCTCATTACCAATGCCTGCTATTGTCAGCTGGCATCTGAAATCACTTCACTCTCCAAAATATAAGGACAGATGGATTCACATTCCAGCTGTATCTGAAGAAGTGAGCATTGATTCATGAAAGCTCATGCACTGCCATTTTGTTAGCCATTAAGGTAAAGCTGTACTCTTGCTCCCTTTCACGAAGAAGGAATACAAGCTGTGCTGTTAGATCCCCCCCAATCTGTTAGAAATGGAAAGGGGGATCTCTCCAAGTGTCATGGGACTCCCCCCCCCGGCATGCTCTCTCTGGGTTTTTCCCTGCCCCTCCCTCCCCACCTCTCTCTCTGAAGAAGTGTGCTTGCCCATAAAAACTTATACCTGGAATAAAATGTTTTTGGTCTTAAACACAGGACTGACTGACTGACTGACTGACTGACTGACTGACTGACTGACTGACTGACTGACTGACTGACTGACTGACTGACTGACTGACTGACTGACTGACTGACTGACTGACTGACTGACTGACTGACTGACTGACTCTCTCTCTCTCTCATATACCTGGAATAAAATGTTTTTGGTCTTAAACACAGGAGATTCACCCACACACCTGGAATAAAACATTTTTGGTCTTAAACACAGGTGTCTCTCTCTCTCTCTCTCTCTCTGGTGTGATCCCTCTCGCTCTCTCCCTCTTTCTGTCTCTGAAGAAGAAAAAGTGTGCTTGCACACAAAAGCTTATACCTGGAATACAGCGTTGCTGGTCTTCTTAAAAGTCCCATAAGATGCCACCCCCCCCCGGCTCTATCCCTCCCTCTCCCTTCCAGAGGAGGAGGAGAGAGGAGCCCTCAGCCAGTCGAGGAAAGGCTTTCTTTCTCTCTCCTCTGAGGCGGGAAATAGGAGAGGCCAAAAGGAGCTGCAATGTTAGAAACAGGAAGCAGCACACAGCCAGTTGCTCTCGGGTTGGATTGGAGGCTTGCAGGGGCCATATCCAGCCCACGGGTTGTATGTTTGACACCCCTGCTCTAGTCCTTGAGGTATGTATGGAGCTATTGCCTTTTCTGTCAAAACCCTGCAGCTGCAAAAGGTACATGACATGGAGAATGAAAAGCCACAGCTTTTTCTCAGTAAAGCCTGGTAGTAACGAGAAAAGTGCACATTTTATAGCTCAGTCATGTAGCTTTCAGAGGCACAGGAAGTTTGCCAGAAAAGATAACAACACTAGCCCAGTATGAGTGTTGCCCCCCCCCGCCCCAAACCCTTTTACTGGGTCTTAACTTCATGATTCTACCACCCATTATTTCCTCATGTATCTCACTTTGTCCCAATTCTTTCAGCTCCCTGTGCTCCCAAGCATCATACTCCACTGAGCAGTACTCATTTCACCCCTCTCCTCAGCAGCCC